TCTGCAACACGCTGCCCTCGGCTGCATAACTGCTGTTGATACTTCCGCTTTACGGCGTCCCAAATCAGTACAGGTCTACACGCCTCTAATATTTTTATTAGCATCATAATCATATTTATTAGTAGTCACTGGAGAGGCTTAAGATCTTGTTTGAATTTATTGAATAAAAAAAGATTAAAATAAACTGAGCTTGATTTTTTATTTTGTGCCACAGCACCATCTACTGAGGACTGATGTGCACCCACAAACACTTGATCCTCTTCCCTCCCTAGAAGTCAGAAGCTCATAAAGTAGATGTGATGTATTACCTGGGATCCCACTCTTGATTGCTCTCATACGCTTTGAAACAATTGCACAACACACACCAGACTCAGCATTGCCTGTCATTATCCATAAAAGAACATCTCATCATTGGAGCTTTTTTTTTTTTTAAAGGCTCATCCCAGTTGGCACAGAGGAGCCTGCCATGCGCTTTAGAGAGGTGTGCTTTGCTGGGGGAGAGTTGAGAAGTGTTCCTGCTCCTCCAAATCCGTCATGATGTGCTGCGAGGCCCGACCCGGCCCAGACGGCTGCTCTGACTCACTGCAACCGCAATTCAATTCATTATGTGTCTATTTGGATTGAATTGTGCCTCCACTGAAAATACATTTATTCATCAAAACGTCAAGTTCTTGGAGCTAAAGCAGAGGGGGGGGGGGGGGCAGCTCCTCTGCTAATTCTCCTCTCAGAGCAGCCACGGGTGCGGGAAGCCGCGATGCAAATGGCTGCTGATTGGATCACCGGCGGAGCCGTCTTCAGTCCATCCCAGTAATCAAAGCCTCTCCCGGCTTTCATTCCTCATCTCTCGGTTGACGAGATTGATTTTTTTTCTTCACCCAGCGTCTGAGTTTGTGCCTGAGAACACCCCCCCCCCCTCTGAAGGGGTTTTCTCACAGCGTTGCTTTGGAGCGCTCCGGTGGATATTTCATCAATGTTTTTTGGGGAAACGACAGCAAAATGTGAAGGAACTCACCGGAGCGCTGCCCCCGTCCCCGTTTCTTTAGAACTGTTGCTCAGTTGAAGTCCTTCTCCCTTTTGGTTTTTATTGCTTTCAATTCACGCGATGTTTGCGCACGTTGGCTGAATAACGGGCCCCTGAGCTGCTCCGCTCCAGTTCCCGGCGTGGCATTTTATTCCTTTAACACCCCTGAGCGAACGAGAAACACCTCCGTAAGAGCCGAAGGCTTTGAAAGCGGCTTTGAAAAGAAGGCCCCAGGCTGAACTGTGTGGCATGCTCGTTGCTGAATAAAAGCTGCTTTAAAGGTCAGAATGATTTAGTTTACAGCTGCATTCAGAGTTCTGACCGCGTCCAGTGATGGGCGTTTTCTTTTGGAATGGGGTTTTTTCACCTTTAAACATCTGCAACAGATTCATACTTGTTGGGGACTATTTTCAAAGGCAGTTTGGTGAAAATTGTGATTGACAATGCCAGCACACAGGAATGGATTTTTATTTTACGGGGCTGATGCCTCTGCTCCCCGTGCATAGTTCTGCCAGCTGTTTGCAAAGCCTCACTGCAGCTTCAGGTCCCACCAGTGAGAAGAAAACAAGCAGGGACTCCTTCCTCTCCTTTATTTACTGCAGGTCGGGTAAATTAGTCTTTATAGGAGCCAAAAAATGATGTGAGATGGGGAGATCTCATGAAAGACTGGATATTGCTTTTAATATCTGGGTTTCATAGTCTCTGCAGCTCGAAGTTTTCTTGTTATTTAGTTCATCTCTGTGCAAAAGCCCTCCAGCCAAGTGCAATGCTGAGCAGTCCTCCAGCTGTTGTCGGCTCCCCAAAAGACTGATTTTAACGTACCTTCCACCTTTTCAAATATTTACTAAATGGAGATCTAGCTCCACTTTGGATATCCACACTTGGATAATTCAGCTGTACACATAAAACTGGAAGGATTTGGAAAAGGAAGTTTAATTGTACCGGCTCATCTAAATTTAGTGGCCAATGATCATAACCATTAGTACTTGTTCTGTTTCTTGGATGATGAGGATTTTTTTTAATTTTATCATTCAGTTGTTTATATTTACTTCCTAGCAGAAAGTTCCTATAAACCTATAAAGTGTTCAAATTAAATGAAGTAATTACAATTGCAATAGGTTTGATTTAAACTGTATTATAATGAGCTGGACTTTATCTTTAAAGAGCTTTGGTGTGACTTTATGCAGCTAGTTTACATAAACTGAAATAGGAAATTTATCAATCTATAATCTGGTTTAGTAAAAAAACATGGTTTTTAGTCAAACAACAACAGCATCCACTTTGAGTTGTATTTTAACATTTTTTGGTAGGTTTTATAAGCCTTAGAGATTGAGATTTCGTGCCATCCCACCCGTCCTCTGGGATCCGAGGTCCTCTTCACCCAGCTTGTGCTGGTGTCTCAGTCCTCGTGACCGACTGGCATCCATGATGTTTTTTCTCAGTCCTCTATGGACAGAATGAGTATGAGCAATGGCCCAATAACAACCGAGCTAATTATCTCTCGAGGTGAATCTGCCACGTCAAGTGTTTTTGCTAAACTCCAGCTCACTCAGGACTGCCATCACCTGGTCAAAGTGTGCCATCAGGAGTGCTGTCTAACAGCCGACCGTCCACCAAGTGTGCCATCAAACCGCCCTCCTCTCACAGCCGTGTTCTGCAAATGTTTGCACAAGCGGACGGCGCTAGCCCCACCAGGCCGACACGCTGGAGCTGCTATGGAAATGAGACGGAGAGCTGAGGGAGCCAGTTTAAATTGGGAAATGAAAATGTTGCATTAGGGCACAGTTTTAGGCTCTAATAATATCCCACTGAATCATGTGAATCAGAGTCAGACAGAAACATTGGTTTTGGGCGCCGGGTGTCATGAATAAATGATTTCCTCCTCGATTCAGTGTGCGCAGAGGAGGTGGGGCGGGGGGGGGCCGCTGGAGAGCAGCGGGTTGATTGACATCCACGTGGAATGCTCTGTGAGGGGAATCGTCAGCTGCCTGAATGAGGATGCAGATGCACCGCGCTCAACAGGACGCCAGCGTCTCTTTTAGAGCGGGGTGGGCCGGATCCCAGACCTGGCCTCATCGCTCCAGGCACCAAGTCTGAAACCACACCATCTAAATTCAGCTGGAATTTCTTATGAGACGTTTACACATCATCCTTCACATGAATTCACTACTCCCAAGTAATGTGATCTCAATGAGGAGACGTAGGACTTGTTTATTCATCCGTCATCATTCATCTGAGTGGGTCATGTGGAGGATTCAGACCAGCAAAAAAAAGAAAAAGGAGACCCACTTGAATCAGATTTAGTGTCTGCAAACCCCATCAAGGAAATAACACTGAATTTCGACGGATTCTTTTGTTCCGCTGCAGATTGAATATGATGAGCTCTGGAGAGGGGCGAGACTCTGCATGAAAAGGGTTTTATAGACACAATTAACTCCAGCACACACTCCTGCTGTTTTTCTAAGACCGGTGCTCGTTCACGGCAGAACGGTGGGAGCTTTAAGCCGGCGAGGAAATGTCCCTCCGTCCTCACTCCTGAGAGATTACACATCCAGACGCGGCTGATTGGGAATAAGCGGCGTGCATTATTATCAAACACGGGGATGAAGCGGGTCCGGGGTCAGTGGGGTCAGCTCCTTTCATTCCACCTTGTTTTGCTGCTGCTGCACTTCTCCAGCTCGGCTTTCTTTGGTTTTCGGAGAAGAGTAGCTTCGGGAGTGGCTTCATGTTCACATGTATTGATCTCTCAAAGATCAAAAGAATTCTTGAGTAGAGTTCTCCCTTTGAAACCTTATTTCGCCCCCTCCTGCTCTTAGTTATATGAATACATGAACCCCTACCCCCAACTTCCACAAAGTCTCACATCCTAGAAACACACAGGCTAATGGATTCAGCAGCAGGAGTAACATCAGAAAACACTGAGCTGTTTGATAGCTGTAGGAATATTTTTTTTATTTCGATTACCTGGTTGGTTTGGCTTGTATGGGCGAGCAGAACTGGAATAGGTAAATTCAGATTTGTGTGTGTGTGACAAATCACCGCAATGGTCATCAAGGTTGGGACTAGTTCAATAACTTCATGATCATGAGGCTTTCACACAGAAAAGAAGCAGGAGTGAACTAGCTTCACTCCTCATTCCATCACTCTCGTCATTCTTCGACTCACAAAGAGGGCTGAAGGCTGGAGAAAATGGCGTGTTTATCTACGTGGGGGAGTGGAAGAGATGTGGCGGAGACTTTGTTATTACGCGGCTGACTGAAACAGAGGAGGTGACAGGAGGAGATTGCGGGAGAGGGAGTCACAGGAAGAGCTTCCATGTCAAGGTAACGGCGTGGGTGGAATTTTTGGCAGGTCTAACAGCCCTGAAAAAATCCAACCACCACTATCATCCTGTATTTGTGAAACACTAAGCATCCTCCATCTTTTAACAAATAACTTATTTCAAACAAGAATTTACTCGGGGATGGAATGTTCCGCCGTTTACCTTCCCAAAACACCAGCAGCTTGCCGTCTGTGAGGAACAGCCCACATGATACCGTTTAATTTTCCGTCTTAAGCGGACCGTTGGCCGGGTGCTGATCCTGCAGCGCTAGCGGCTACAGTGAGGCCGCCACAGTGAACAACAAGCGGGGCCATCGTCTCTCTCAAGCGTTCTTTATTACCTTTGAGCAGGGCTTTTTAAAACTCTGTTAAACATGTGTTTCGCAGTCAGTTTATCAGGCTCCAAAAGTCTTTGTTGGTATCCCAAATGCTAACACATATAAAGAATGAGGCGTGACACACACAGTAAGGCCACATCACTATTCTGCACAATAACGGCTACAATACAAAGTGTGTTCGTGAGAAAGAGCGTCAGATATCTACAAATGGCGAAGACCGAGACAATAATTTACAAAATATAGCGAATGTTCATATTTAAATGCAATTAAAAACCTGCTTTAAACCCGTTTCAATGCAGGATTACTAAGAATCAGAACACTGCATGTTTTCCAGCCGGATGGATGGAATCCTGTTCTGTTTTTGTTCCTCTGAAGATAAACTCAGTGAATGAGTACTGATGAGACGCTACAGCTTAATGTAAGATAAAAACTATTTCTGAAGATGACAGTGATTTCTGAAGGTGTAAAACCCTGTTTTCCAGATCCATCACAGCGTTTTAATGAATTATACTATATCAATGCCTAAACTGAAGCTGATTCAGTGTTCAGTGTTTGAGGGAAAATCCCAGAAACTGAGCGAAAAACCAGAGTTATGTGCGTTTTACCCACAGTGCCATGTGGCGAGTCTGCTGACAACCACATTCAGTGGTTCCAGGGGCAGCCGCAGGGGTCTCCACAGCTCCTTTTTCTTTCCCACAGGACACGCAGCTCTTCGGCTGTGTGTTGTGGAGATGAAAGCATGTCCAGATAACACTCCTTCTCACACAGCCAGGCCGGGTCCTGGTGACAGGAGGGGAGCAGGACAGTGACTCCGATGAAGGCCACAGACCGCTGACCACACACTTTGTTCAGGCCTCACTCCTGTTAAAATGATCCCACCGACCTGAGGTGGACTTTAAATTCATTCTCTGATGGTAAGAAATGTCAAATGGCATGGGCTCATAGATTTAGAAAAGCAATCTTTAAAAAATAAAATACAAAACCATCTCGTCTTATCAGACCATATAATTCTAAACAGCTGAACAATAGACCACATCATATTACAGTGGGACATAATTAAGGGGCCAAACGGAAGCATTGAGCGAAAAAATATTTTTTGGAAAAGATTAAAAAAGATGTTATCAAACTGCTGGAATGGTAGTGGAATTTTATCTTTATCAGGCAGGCCGAACATTTTGACTCCAGAACTTTTTTTTTTATTATCTGAAGACTAGTTTCTGGTAGACGCAGCAGATATAAAGTACCAAGGACCTGTGGTGGTTTAGATCAAACAGCTCCACTTTGGTGTCATCTGTCCAAAAGACACTGTTTTAGAAGTCATGCAGCATTTCCAGATAAAACTCAGCCAGCCTAAGCTGCGCTGCCATGTTCTATTTAGAGGGATCAGACTTGCACTTTTTTTTTTTTAAACTGCACTGTCATTTTGTTCTGTCTCTCTGCAGACTGGCTTGATCAGCTAAAAATGATCATGTTGCTGTCCTACATTCTGCACATTTCAGTAATCAATTAAAAAAGAAAAAGAAGAGAAAACCTTGAGATGACCTGACAACAAGGTTGAAAGAAGAAAATATGTACACTTCTGCTCACAGTTTCCTGTCACACGTTTCCCACCTCATTCATGAAGCTTATTTGTGAAGCAAACATTAAACTTAACGAGAAACAAACTGCGTTAATGAACTCAATGAATGTGGAATAAAAGATGATGCTTGGCCATCACTCACACTATCGGCGCTGCACTGAGGTTTGCACACAGCAAAGAGGCCCAACCGCCCCACTCTGGAGGTGGAATAATCATTTATATTCACCGTTCATTTTAGGGCGTTTTTCCCCTTCTCTATTAATATCAGACAGTGACCTTTATCAGCTGAATGCTGATAAGCGTAGGTGTGATGTGGAAACACTGGGGACAACTACGGCACATGTAGGACTTCATCGTTCCATCTCCGACTAAATCTTATCAGCTGTATTTTAGAATAAGGACAATGAACCCAGCTGAATCATTTGTGGCCCGCGGGCAGTTCTTTACCTGATATTTCTGTGGTCCTACAGCAGCCATCCATATCCCCATGCTGACATCTTCTCCCTGTAATGACGCATTTTGAACAGATTACTCACTCTTTGGTCAGAATGGTCTGCCACTGCTGATTCTGAGCAACACTCTACCTGGTAGGCTTTCAGTTTCTCTGCGTTACTGGCGAGCCACTGGACCAGGTCACGAGAGACCACGTAGCCCGAGCCACAGGCGAACGCCGGGTAGGCCGGACTGGCATACTCCAGCTCCTGCCACTTCCCGATACGATCCACTGCCCAGCTCTGCCTGAAACTGGGTCAGACAGGTTATCATCAAACCCCGTCAACGCAACGCAATGAGGCTGAGATGCAAAAAACGCCACCTGACAAATGGATCCACATTCAACAGACTCAGACATGACGCGCCACTTACTTCCCCCACCAGAAATTGCTGTGCTTGAGACCCTTGCGGTCAATTTTCATTAATACTGAGTCCACGTCGATGTAGCAATCATCATCTGTCTTCAGCAGCAGATTAAAGTCAGCATTTCCCACCGACCTGCAAGAGAAGGAATTTGCTACATTAATTAAAGCGCAGGCCGTTTGTTTGCAACATCTCAGAGCAAATTTACTTTCAAATACCACTGAGAGGTGAGGGCGAGAGGTCAGCAGATAACTAACACACCAGTCAAATCAGAGCCTGGGAAAAAAAAAACGATCTCAGAACTGTTTCCTGCCTGACACACAACAGCCCTTTTTCCCCACTGAGTGGCTGCTATCAGAATTCTAACGGAAGCGTTTGGAGGCGACGACACACTTTCATTTCAGGTTGCTGATTTCCTCAGAGGTCTCAGGCAATTTGGAGCGTGCAAAGCGAGTCGTTAACACTTGCCATACCATTTATAGAACTGCAGCAGTTTGGAAGGCACGCTCCTGTAAGTGTCCACCACATCCACGAACACCATGTCGCCGTGCCTCCGGCTCTCCTCCAGCAGAGCCACATCCTCCTGCCTCAGCCTGGAGGCGTGGCGCTCCATCCTGCCCGGGCGGCCCTGCAGGAGCCCCGACAGCCCTTCTCCGTCTAAAAGAAACAAGAAAGCGGCAAAAGCAGGAGGGGCACATATCAGACAGACAAGAAAACGAATTTAAGAGAAGTGAAAGTGAATTTCAGCAAAATTATAGATAGAATAAGGTGTTCTTGAACGATAATAATCTGGTAAATGATTCACTTAATATTGTTTTCAGGGATATTAAGTGATCTAGTTTAATGTATTTCTCCATAAAATGGCTATAAATCCATCCCCAGGTTTAAACACATGCAGGTAAAAATCAATACTTGGCACAGGCGGGTGGCCTTGGAAGGAAATGTTACTGTCCATTTGCTACCTATGCCAGAGCCCCGAGGTGACAAAGGGCTTATCTCATTACCTGCCAGAATGAACAATGTCTTTTTTGAGTTTTTACACTGGGGTTTCTTTAATAACAGCTCCCTCACACTGTGATTTTCATCAAACTGCTCTCATATTAAGCCATGAATCAATTCTGTGGTCGGACCGACCGTAGATAGTAAACGTGAAGCCTCCAGCCAAGCCGGGAAACCCAAGAGCACTTCTGTGAGGCAGTATGCCCTCGGAAATCTGTAAATGTAAGGAAGAGAGAGGAGGGGGAGTCTATCAGTTTTTAAAAATAAATTATGATTATCATCCCTCCACAGTGATACGAGCTCGTACAGAAGAAAACTTTAGGACTCCTCCTCCATCGTTGAACTTGGCAAAGGTGGAGTTGACCGTGGTCAGTGCAGCAGAATCCAAGCTCTCCCAGACCAATGTCCCCTCAAAACCCTGAATAAAATATAAAACACAGCGTTGTGCTCAGTGCTGTCAGACAGCATGAACGCCAGGGCACCGATGTCATGTTTCATTTACTTTCTGCTGTGGACTTGAAATCCCAGTATTTCTCCAGACAAAAATCCTTAACCAGTTAGAGTGTTTTACTCCTACTTTGACATCAATGCTAGATGTGGTTCAAAGTGAAACTAAGAACGCTTTTCAATCAGAGGTAACAAGCATAGACAGAAGTATTAGGATATTTTATCATCCCCAAGAGGCGATTTAGTTTCCAGCCAGCAGTAATACAGAAGCAGAAAACAATAAATCTACACATGGTGAACATACAGAAAAGCTTACACTTACATGTGGTCATTAAAAAGGCCAGAACAGCCAGAACCGATGACCTGTTCCGTCGGTATCGTGTCGGGAAAATCTGCACCCCCCCCACCCCCCAGAGGACAGCCACAAACTCCCAAAATCAGGGATGGTACTGCTTGGCAAATATGGACTCCAACTTTTCTAAAGATCTGACCTCACAAAGACCGTTGAGGAATTTAAGGCTGACTCACACCTTTACAATGAGGTGCAGCCCATTCTTCTGCTGAACAGAATGCAAGGTCAGACCAGCTTAAAGTTATGGAGGGCAGCTGACACAGAGTGAAATGATACACTGCAGTCTGAGAAGTTACATCAGCCATTTGAAAGCCGGAAGCATTTGGTTCAAATACAAACATACAAAAGAAGATAAAAAGGGCTATGACCAAAAATCTAAATGTTTCAGACATGTTCCAGAGGATATGTGGAACACTGACCTTAGGCAAGATGAACTGCTCTACCGGTTTGTACCACACCCAGTTGACCATGGTCCCCGTGCTAATGGAACTGAAGCGAGCAGTTACTACGGCCTCCTGCAAGACATTTTTGAGAAGATTTTTCCACAAAGACTATAAGAGGATTGTGTTTTTAGTGCCCACCGCTCCAAATACTACACTGTTTTATTGTTAAATGAAGAGCAGTAATTGAGAGAGGGCTGCGGCGTGTTCTGTCCAAAAGAAGTTACCTCCTGATCCAATTGGTGAAGCTTGACTGTCACATTGGTCTGAAGTTCAGGCAGGATCTTGCTGGGAAACACCCCCAGCTTGGTAATGACCACTGGATGGAGGACTTTGAAATCCAGCGCAATGGCAGACACATCGGAGGGGGCGAGCACTGATGGCTCAGAGACTGTTACGATCTCCATCTCTTCATCCTGTCCAGTCACTGGGACACAATAAGGGCTACAATAAGCAGGCATGGAATTGATTAGACCAGCTTTTTTCCCCCTTTTTTTTTATAGGAGAAGCCTCTGAAAGGGGGAGGAGCGGCCGGAGGAAAAGCAGCTGCAGGAGCTGCTTCTCAGAGCAGCTGTCTTCAAAGTCAGCTCCTGCTTCTGAGCGTGGTTTCTTCAGCACAAAAGAGAGGTTTATTACTCCGGAGATCAATGAAAACATCAAGGCTGTTAAAGGCTGTTTTTACTTCAGATGTATCCTACACAAGACCTCCGGCTCCATCTGAAATAAAGCCTGCTAGAGGCGAACGATCGCATAGAGAGAGAAAGAGAGAGGCAGGGAGCGAACGGTGATTCATGAAGCCGAATGTCTCGCACAGTGACAGATGTGGCATCTTACCAGAGATGTATGAATCCTTTCCCAAACTGATTAATTATACCAGATTGTAAACAAATGCTTGAGCATGCTCGTCAAAACAAATAGCAGCAGCACTTCTGCTTGCAAACCCTTAATAAAGCCTTTTAATGCAGCAGAAGAATGTCCTGTGTTTGTAGGGCCGGACCGCGACTGCTGCGTCTCGAATGGCTTCAAACACCATCACTGTGTCCTCTCAGCCAAGAGCTGAGGCAGCAACAGCACAGAGAGCGGATTCCCTCACTGAAACTTTTTCTCAGAGCAGACAGCACCTGCCCACATCAATGAGCAGTGGTCAAATCTCCCGCTTTGTCATCCTGCAACTTAGGCAGGTGGCAGATTCTTTTTAAATGTCAAAAAAAGTGTAGAACGGTAGGATGCAATAGTTTTTCCCCACCCCCAATTAACAGAGACCTGGTTTAAGGGGAAAGCTTACCCCACACTTCACTATACCCCTGTGTTCTGCTGGGTCTGCTTGTTTTGGGGTCAGGATAAAACCCCTGAAGCAAATTCATACCTGTATGACAGAGCGTGAGATAAAGAGCCAGAGAGCCAACAGCCACACAGCATATCCGGCTCTGACTCTCACCAACTGTGCAGATGGATGAACACTCGACCAGGACTGTCACCAATAGGAATGTGAGCATTCATGGAAAATATTTGTCATATTTAGAGTCCTGATTGTCTGCTCAAAAAATATGAAGAGAAGAGATTGGAAAAATAATTTTGCAAGAAACCCACAACTATGCATTAGTCATTGGTAAGAAATGTTTTTTCACAATGAAAATGTAATTGAAAATGTTTTATTTAATATTAGTTACCCCATTTCATTTCCAGCAGTTTAAGGATATACACATGCAAAAAAAAAAAAAGGAAAGCACAAGTACAAGTACAACAACGTTGTACACAAAGTGGTGGGATTCTCCAAGAAACACAGAGGGCGGGTTCCTTTGGAGTTTTTGTGTTGGCACTAACTCAACAATTACAGGCTTAGAAAAAGTGACCAGCAGAATAATGATGGTGATGATGATGTAGAGAGATAAGAAATATCTATGATCAATGCAGCACAAGCTAGCCATGTTGTTACAACAATTAACAGCCCGCTTTACGTGTGCTTTGACCTGAATTCTGAGTTAGATACCCAACCGCGGTGAGAGCAGCCACTGTCTCTTTCTCCTCAAATTTCCTCCGAGCGTCTGGCACCAAAGCTGCCCCCACGCCTCAGTTGCAGAGGCAAATCACGTCAACACTTACGCCCATGAGCATGATGGGGGAAAGCGGAAAGAACGAAAACGTAGCCGTGACCTTAAAGGCCGTTGCCTGAAAAAAAAAAAAAAAGAAAGAAAAAGCCCATTCTGATGTGCTGTAATTATGTTTTCGTGATGGCTGCAAACGCAGAGCTGAGCCGGACTGACTCCACAAAGGTGAGGGACACAACAATTACTGTGGACGCTCAATGTGGCAGCGAATGCGTTCAATTATTTCATTTATGGAGCCTCAGCGGCTCTCACGGCTCCACTTTCCAGGCAGTTTCTAAGCCACACTGACTATCAGACGTTTCTGCCTTGGATACAGAAAAAAAAAAAGGACGGTTGTCCTTGAGCTGTGGGAGAACATGAATAAAGGTGCTTCACTTTTCTTCTGAACATCCATTCTTTTCATTCTTTCAGCTCTCCCACCGTTGTTCTGCCTCCGCTGCACATGAATGCAACACGTTGCAGTGTGTTTCTCACCATGACGGCAGCAGATGCCACTCATTAGTGCATTCCTTTCCACTTTTGATTTTTCCCCCTCCTTTTCCTTACCTGGCTCACTTAAGTTTAAAAGGGAGCAGGAGTAGGGATCCTCTCTGTCCTCCTCCGGGATGGGACAGCCATGCTCGCCCACGATAAACTTCACCCCCACTCTGAAAACAAGCACACACAAGGCTGCATTCGTCTTTCCTGTGAAACACTCAGCTAAAAGATGTCTTAAGCTGAGCTCGTACATCTATCTGCCCTCCATTGCCATGGTTACTGAGGGTTGCTTAAAGGCCATAACACCTTATCTGTTCTCAGATCGCTGAATGAGAAGGAAATGGACGGAAAAAAAGGAATGAGAGTACAATGTTGCCCACTGGTTATGTAAAGATAAAAGGATGGATGCAACAGTCCATTATTTGCTGCCGGCTGCAGGCTTTATTTCCTCTATATGAATCTGGCCAGCCAGGACAAAAAAAAAAAAGAAAAAGAAAAAAGAAAGAAAGAAAGAAAAAAGGCCAAGCAGTAAAAGTTGGAGCTCCTCAATACAGACCTGTGCTGGAAGTGGGGGTGATGTCTGATGTATCCCAGCCAGGTCTCTCTTATCGCTTGTCGCAGTTCATAATTGTGTCTTGCTGACAGCACTCCCACCAAAACTTCATAGAGAGGCAAGGGTTCATCTGCATTACAAAAAAAGAGAAAAATCCCACATAACAGGATGCCATGCATCAACGGCCACAGCTCTCCCCCCAACGCTTAATGTACCAATGGAAGGAAGACAGGACCTCATGTCACTGGCCCCCACAAGGTAAGAAGCAGATAAGAAGCTTGCTCTGATTTATGCTTTTCATTCCTGACTGACAGCTAGTTCATCTAATATTCCCTAAGGATGATCTAAAGAAGAAAAATGCTATAAATCACTGCATGAAAAATTGATCTTTTCATGCATTTAAAGCAAGTTTAAGTATATTCCTCCGATGAAAAAGGGCTTCCACGTCAGTATCGCAGAAATAATGAACTGGAATTTGGCACGGAGCATTCAAGAACAGAAATCCAACACACCGAAGTTCCCGTCTAAAAAGCAGACGCTAGAGACTATCCCAGCAACGCCCAGCCCCGCTCAAGTGTTCCCCCCACACGTCTCCCGACCCAAACACACCAAACACACGCTGCGACACGCCAACACACGCCACCGGCAACAACTACCTGTTCACGCTCAAACTAACTACCGCAAAAAAGGGCCGGTTACGGCAAAGTTAGATCGGGGGCTCGAATGTGGGGAGTGGAAAAAAAAAGTTACGAATTTTCGGAGGGTGAAGCGCGGGGTGTGTGGCAAAAGAAAGTACCAGAGTCTGTGTTGTTGTCCGACGGGCTGGAGGAGAGTCGTTGTGCCAACCACAAGTGCACCAGGACGGCGACAGCACAGGGCAGCAGAATGAGCGCTAGCCTCCGCATGGACGGAGCCCTTCATTCAGCCGGAGCGGGCTTCTGCTTTGGCGGAGCGGAGCGGAGCCTCTTCCCGAGCCGCACGTCGCTGTACGGTGTGAGCCCCTCCGAGTGCGCGCTTCATTTCAGCTCGGCAGCTCTCCGCCGGGCTCTCAACACCGCCTCATGTCTGCCTCCGCTGCTGTGGAGAGCCGGACCAATGGAAGACGAGGAGTCTTATCGCGGTGCACGCTGGGAGATGAAGTTTCTACAGTGTAATGGCCGTGCGAAAATTGTTGCCGTTTTTTTGGGGGGGGGGTTGTTAATTTAATTGTTTTTCATCTGTTAATTTAAAATTAAAGAATGTTAATGTAAGCACAATGAAAAAACTGTCACTAATATAGGACACTAACACTATAACACTAAACCACTATACTAGACTTTCCATTGCTTCTAAGACAGCCCTATCCTTTTTTTTCTGAGGTTATTTTCCTTCAGTCTACCTTGTAAATTTCTAATGAAGTGAAAAAAACATTCTGTGCAGGATAGAAAAATTTGCATTTGAATCTTTTTATCCTTCTGAAACCCTGCTGATTTGTTTTAGCCTTAAGATTAGAACAGAACTTTATCAAACCTGTTAGTGAGTGCTCCACATAAATCATTTAAATGGAATCTACTGTGCATGGAGATGGATGCGTGAGGAGGATTTTGTCTGACTCTGAAAGCATTAGCGTTTCTCCTGGAGAGGAGGGCTGGCCCCACCAGCACCACCTGCTACATACTTAGAAATGTCCCATTTGTATTGATTTGATGAAATTCTGATGTTGCATAAATGAATAAGGGAAAATAAGTGAAAAGCTTTTGCTCCCGTAACTAAATGATATAATTAGAAATTATTACAGTTTCATTATGGGTGCACTTTCGGGACTCTACGTTAATTTTTTGTAAAAATGACTTCAGTACATATTTTTATATTGGATAATAAAGTGCCCCAGGGACAACTGCTTTTGTTGAGCACTTCTAATTCTTTTTGGACTCATCATACTCATACATACAGATACCTTTATCACATTGATAACTGTTGTCTCCCTGCAATGCCTGCTCAAGATTTCTTATTGTTCTCGTCTTTCTTTTGAAGTGGCACCCAACTGTTGTTTGTTGTTTATATCTCCAACTTAATTTTTTTATTTATAAGCGACATGTTGAAATATGCTGTAATTCTTCCTCTCTGCCTTTTTCTCTGCACTTTTTGCCTGTATTGATACAGATTTCTTCACAATGTTCATACGATATTTAACCAAGGTTTTGTTTTCTTCAGATTCTGAGTTTAGGTTTTAGTCCTCAGGCTCTAATGTTTTGTGTTTTCTATTACGACTGAATGCTAGAAAAACAGAGGTGGCTGCAGACTGCATTGCATTCTGGGATAGATTTGTAATATCATATCAGAAGAAGATTTTTGTTCAGCCGTAATGGCCATTGCTTAAGGACCTTGAAATAAAATGATAGAAAATATATTCAAACTCTCTGCTTAATGGCGACAGAAATTGTGAACAGGTGCACAGAGAACACAGTATTTCCATTTGCCCTCCTCCTTGCCATCATTCACTGTGAGAGGTGTACTGTAAAAAATCTACTTCTCATGGGGAACAAATGAATACACACTACTGTCCACAGCACAGCTGGTGAAGAAGTTTCAGAGGCACTTCTCTATATCTGTGCTCCTTTTTAATTACATCCTGACCCTTTGGGATTGGTTGGGAGAAATCAATAAGATATACCTGGCTTTAGCTTGTCAGTCTTATTCACTGAAACTACCCTTGCGATTTTGTGCATTGATGTGCACCAATAAACTTGATATTCTTGTTTTTCTCACATAGCGAGCCGAGGGGATGAAATATACATATATGTGTGTGTGTAAAGAATTTATTTACATTTCTTTAATGTTGCCATGAGACTAGCCCTTACTGCCTTGAAACATTGCGATAAAATAAACAAACTGTTCGACATAAACGAAAACTATTGACCAGCTCTGCTAGAAAAACTCCGGTGCGGCTGGCCGAATGGATGCATGGATGGACACATGAAGCAGCAGCAGCGGCCCACAGGGCGGATGGCAATTTCAGCAGCTGATGCCTGGAATTATCATTGGGGCCATCCTTCATGGAGGCAGCAGTGCTGGGGCAGGCAGCGGTTGCTCATTAGATGCACAGTAGACGGCAAAATTACTAATGCCACAACAGCTGCACAGAGCGTTCAGAGGGCCTGTGGCTCAGGTCGGCCACAGGAGGTCTCCCCCTCACATCAGAGTACCCTGCTCTACTGTCAGACTCACGGCTATTTCCCGTTTCGCTCTGTGTTTGAATCGGACTGTGGCTGAGAACCTGGGTGAAGAGAAAATCAGGCACAAAGACCAAAGACAGCACATACATTTTACCGTTTTCCTTTATTAATTTGTTCCGTCAAAGGGTTTACAAAGGCTGCTGATTAAATGCGGGGTTTTTCTTTTCCTCCCCAAAATGATAATACCATCCCAGAATAGAATTGCACATCATCAACAAATCTGGACTCCAGTGAGACTATGTTCAGAGTAGCACCCCGGAACATCAAACCAGGCAAACCTTTCATATCTTAATACTTCTCTTTGTTATAGATATAAACTAATCCATGCAATATTCATCTCTAGTAGTGTATTTCTTGTTATAGATTTGGCACCATCTTTAAGACGAGTTTAGTCCCCCCCCACCCAAAGGTCTCAGGTTCCTGGAATTATTTATGTGTTTGTGACACTCCAATGTCAGGAGTGTGATTCCTAACATGATGGCTATTCAAGTATCAGGAGGGAGCAAATTCCACTTGGTTTTACAGAAAGAGGGATGCAAAAAGCCTGAACCACCAAAGGGATCATGTTATGCAAACGGTCCTTACTGCTGTTTTTAAAAAATACTTAGATAGTATCAATAATTGCATGATTTATAAATGTTTTTCCTAAGTATCATACAAGCTTAATAGCACTACACGTCATGTAGCTGTCAGTGCTGTGCAACAAATATTCAATATTACTACTGATAATAACCATATTAACAACGATAACAATTCATCATAAAAAAATCAGCAACTGCTATTCAACTACCATGTAAAGGAAATGTTTCGACAGTGTGCTTTTTCTTCCAAAAACAAACCTAACGGAACAAAAGGCTGCGGGACCACAGTGTGAGAGGCCACACTGCTCTCACAGAGGTTGGCACTGAAACATACTGTACACTCTAAAAGACTACGGTCCCTCAGAAACGGAGGAGACTGTTAAAAAGGAGCAGGGGAACATGCAGGCCTCCGCTTTGGCATTTATGTCAAAGGCCTTGCCATTCACTCTATGACAAGCAAAAGGAATTAGGCTCAGGAAACATGCCCAGAAAACAAATTAGAAAGTAAAAGGAAATTAGGAGAGAAGTCTGACAAAATATTCCAGCTCGGGAGGTGCACGAGCAGCTGAAAGTATGTGAGGAGAATGAGGCGGAGATACGGAACAGCAGAGGTGGTCTGCATTGGAGTGGGTCTGCAGAGCAAGTGGAAAATGAACAATAAATCCATTTTGACTTAGGGTTGACTGATGTGATTGCATCTTGTGTTTCCTCTGGCTGATGGAAACATAATAAATGCACATCTAAATAAATGGATTCTACTTCATTTGCTGCCGCAGGCGTGCTGCGCAACCACTTCCCTCCTCTTCTGAGGGAAAGTGAAAATCCTTTTACCGTGCGAGATAAAGTTTCCCTTTCTGTTCTTTAATCGGTTTCTGACAGCACTGCAGCACTAAAACAAGCAGGTTAATTGTTGCTGACTCCGCTGAGAATTTCAAACAGAGACCACAGCTGGAGGGAGTGTTAAGTTTCAGTGGAGCTCTTAAAAGTGTTGCTACAAGTGGCCAGACCTCTGCACTGGGAGAAACCAAAGAAGAAATACCAACGAAACGTGCTCACCATGGCCCAGAAAAGCTGCTTTTTATTCAGCTAAAGGGAACGGGGGGGATTAAAAAAAGAAAGAAAGAAAAGAAAGAAACTGGGCAAATTTCTGTTTCCTGAGGCAAGTTAAGATCTAGCACGATAAATTGATGGGGAGAAAAAAAAAAAAACTAACTAGGAAAAAATTAACATCTCTCATCTCATTAAGCACTGAGCAAGGCTGTTCTCTAATAACAAAGCAATTACAAACCTATTTAACAAGACATGGCACGCTCGCTGGGTTGCCAGTTTGGTAGCTGACTCCCCCAAAAACCCCTCAGCCACGAGGACAGAGCTGACCGACAACAGAGTGTCCACCAGGCAAACCTCAACTCAGTGCCTACGGCCAGTAGCCTCAGGTGTGGTGAAGACAGAGAAGCCAGGCAACGCCATGCCTGCGCCAACGCAGCTCCATCTGCCGCTCATCAGAGGATGGTGCAGAAGAACTTCTTCTCCCGGAAAGGATTCTCGGAGGCCGGGACGGGCACGATGAGGGGGTCCTCGCGTATGTGAGCGTCACAGTATGCCAACAAGTCGGCGGCTGCTTTGGACACCTGAAATTGAGGTTGGGCAAAGGCGATTAGATGTTTATCCTCCAAAAAATAAATGAATTAAAAAAAGAGAAAAAAGAAACATAACATTGTGGTTACACTTAAGGGAAATTATCCAATAAAATCCAGTCTTAAAATGTGAAAAACACAATATGAACAAGGTGCTTCTGTAATGGCAGCTGGACGGGCTTCGACCCCGCTTTGAATAACAGAGGCCCAGCAAATAGGATGATGATGGCTTCGCGCACACACAAAGTCAAACCGTGACACAGGATGCGACCTGGACGAGGGTTTTTTCTGCTGCGTTGTTGCTGCTCCTGATTGGTGTAGTGACTGCACTGGCGCCTGCTTCCTCAGGTCGGGCAAGAGAGTGATACAACTCATCAAGGTGCCCAACAAAGTGAAACCTTGACCAGCGCAGCAGGAGGAAAAAAGGGATCAATTTAACAATGCATCATTTCCAACCGAGTGAAAAGTTGCATATCCTTTCTTCCAAACCTCCAAACCACACTTCGGCCAATCAGCATGCCAAAGCAGGCTTCCAATTTGAAACCGAGTGGGAAGTTGCAGGAGGGGAGGCAGCAAACGGAGAGCTGCCGCAACAGAGGAAGGGGGGGGGGGGGGTACAACATGCAGAATCCATCACACTGCCCAATAGCATGGGTCTGGAACACAGATTATCGACAACTAATGTTGTTGACAGCCCAAAATGTGGCCTGGAGTAAGACCCCAAACCAGATGAGTTGGAGGGGAGATGTCAAAGGTGCTGAACAGGACAAAAATGGAGGGAAAAAAACTCAGAGAAAGTTTATTCCTTCCCCAAGCCATCTTGGAAATTGGGAGACCAAGGGAAGATAGAATAGCCAAGCTTGAAGTCCTGATGGGTACACTGTAAGAATTTGGCTTTCCTGTACACCTAATCAGCCCAGTTATTGGCAAGAAAATACTCTAAACCAGATGGGGTCTATACCAGAGAAACGATAACAGCAGGACTGTGCAGTCACTGAACTCCAGCCACCACAAAGGAGCCCAGCTATCGGGAACCTGAAATTTGATTTTCAAGACTTTCCTGTTTAAAGAGTCACTTAATGTTCGCCTGTCCAAAGATTCAAAGTTATGAAAAAAAGATATTCCATACAATCCAATACTATCATACATCTTTCACAAAACGAAAACGTTTCTATCCTCTGGCAAGATTAGTACCATTTGAACTCACACACAGGATTCAAATCGTTCCAAAGCAAAAGGTGTGCGATTCTGTGGGCTTTCTGCTCTTCCTCTGATTGCCATCTTACATCTACACTCCGGAGCTGCTTTCTTCCTCCTCTACTGCCGGTCACATCAAATAGATTAGCTTTTACTGAATACATATCCCCGTGATGTACCAGTGAACAGCGGCGCAGGAAACATGCCTTTTTTCGCGTGTGAGGCGCAGCCGAGAAGATAACAAACGGAATGAAATACCAAATTGTCAGTCAAAAAATAATTAGACTGAGGCAAGCCACAAATAGTTTAGATATTGGTTACACAGGAAGGGATTTTCTGAAGAAAATGTTTTTGAAAATGTCCTTTTTGACCAAAGTCAGGCGCCAATCATCCAGACCTCGTCTCGCAACGCAAGTAAACAGAACAATTATTTTCCCTAATCAATGTAAAAAGCAGCAATTATATTAGCTACTGTCAGGGCTTTTGCAGAGAGCAGGAGCCACGCAGGCCCAAAAGCAGTACTGCACATTGTGTGCCATTATACCCAGACTGATTGTAATTACACTGCAGCCCCATGATGGAAGGAGAGCCCTTCTAATTAGCACAGATCACATTCCTTTGGCTGATTGGGCAATTAATGAGAAAGTGGTGATCCCTCAATCAGCCGCACAGAGACTGCTTTTGTCACTGATACACACTCTCCCTTCTCAGATCCCTTAATTAAATTTGCAGGATCACCAGTTGTGGCCAACTGTCTGTTTCCGCTGCGCTTTGCTCGGTTTCCATCTGCAGCCATGTTCCCCTTTAGCAGCCTTTCTCTCCGTCTTCCTGAGCCTGGATCTCCACGTCTGATGAATGGAGTGGTTACTCCAGGCAAGCAACAGTCTATCAGTCATCCGGCGACTGTTGAGAGGATATGAGAGATCTGCAATTATGCAGCTCTAATCATATTTGGAGCTGCCCATGGCTTAATGTGCCCTGCAGCCACAGTCAGCCCCCCCCCCCCC